AGATGCTGATTTAATTTTCCAGCAGGACTTGGCACCTGCCCATGACCATGGTGTTACTGTGCTTGATTGGCCTGCAAACTCGCCTGACCTGAACCCCATTGAGAATCTATGGGGTATTGTCAAGAGGAAGATGAGAGACACCAGACCCAACAATGAAGATGAGCTGAAGGCCGCTATCAAAGCAACCTGGGCTTCCATACCACCTCAGCAGTGCCACAAACTGATCACCTCCATGCCACGCCGAATTGAGGCAGTAATTAAAGCAAAAGGAGCCCCTACCAAGTATTGAGTACATGTACAGTAAATGAACATACTTTCCAGAAGGCCAACAATTCACTAAAAATGTTTTTTTTTATTGGTCTTATGAAGTATTCTAATTTGTTGAATTGGTGGGTTTTTGTTAAATGTGAGCCAAAATCATCACAATTAAAAGAACCAAAGACTTAAACTACTTCAGTCTGTGTGCATAGAATTTATTTAATACACGAGTTTCACAATTTGAGTTGAATTACTGAAATAAATGAACTTTTCCACGACATTCTAATTTATTGAGATGCACCTGTATATACCATCCTACACAAGTGTTGTGCTGTTCTCGGTCTATAGGAGGAGCTGGAGGAGCACTGCAGTTTCAGCACTGAGTTGAAATCAATGGAGCAACAACTTAAAAACTTTGAGAGCATTATGACCTCCTCTGCTACAAGCATGGATCGACTAAAGGTGAATCTGTGGCACTTCTTGAGGTTGTTTTCATTAATTTTCTTTTATCCTCCTCTTTGTGTTTCAGAGCAAACTAAAAGGTTTGTTTTTATGTAAATGTTTCTCTTTTTTCTTTCTCTAAGATGGTTCTGTTAGATCTGAGTGGGCTGAACCCTAAACTTGCTGCTCTGAATGAAACGAGTTTCAGACTCTCCTTAAGCCCTACAGAGGAAGAGAGGTTACAGTCCCTCAACGCACAGTGGGTTCAGGTCTTCTCTCAGGCTTCAGACCGACACAGGCAAGTAAAACTTCACTGTATTAAAGCTGTTCCATTCTCAAACATTTTGATTTAGCCCTGAAATACACTTGATCCCCGATATCTTAGAAAAAGGGATAGTTTACCTAAACATGAGAATTTTATTTACTCACCCTCAGGTTGTTTCAAACCCTTTCAAAAACTCTCTTGTTGTGTTCCATTGGGGAAAAAATTACTGGTTTGGAACGACATGAGGGTGAATTTTTATTTTTGGATGAACTGTTACTTGAACTTTTTTTTTCCATAAACTTTTTACACCCTAAAATAAGCTGTCACTCTGGTGAATGCCAATGCACATATCCGTCTGTAGGAAGATGTATGGAGAGCTGCTGCATGCTCAGAACTTCCAACAGAAGTGCCAGTGCTGGATGGAGTTCCAGGACAAAATCAAGGCTGGGTTATCCAATCAGACGTCTGGAAACTGTGCTGCTGTAAAAGAGCAGCTAGCTGCACATCAGGTAGAGCATACAGTTATAAAGTTAAATCCATTAGAAAATTATTTTCTAATACTCCGTTTCATCATGTGATGTTGCTTCATAATGACCATGCATAACATATTCGAATTAATGGGATAGTTCACCCAAAAAAACCCTGTTTTTCTGCTTACCCCCAGGGCATCCCAGATGTAGGTGATTTTGTTTCTTTAGTAGAACACAAACGAAGATTTTTAACTCAAACCGTTGCAGTCTGTCAGTCTTATAATGGAAGTTAATAGAAATCTCGGCTTTGAGAGTAAAAAAAAACATACACAAACAAAACCAAATTAAACCCTGCGGCTCATGACGATACATTGATGTGTAAAGACACAAAACGATCGGTCTGTGAAAGAAACTGAACAGTATTTATATCGTTTTTTACCTCTGATTCACGCAGTGTCCGAACTGTTCAAACTGTCCTGAGCGGGAGCACGTCCTCCTGAGCGCGTTCTCAACAGCAGGCGCGTGAGGCGTCGTCATCTTGCTTTACGGCGGATCACAGACTTATAAGTGCATTACCGCCACCTATCTCTCAAGTGGACCATTGACACTC